AGTGAAAGTTTTAGATATGTGCAGTCATCTTGGATTGAAGTCCCTGGAGATATGTGCCTGTCTCCTTGGGGACATGTTGCTGTAATCTAGTACAGTTGGTAATTTCAAATACACAAAACCTACCAAACCTAGGAGCCATATAGCAGTCAATACTCAGGGTTCTTGGGAAGTTGGATCACTATAATCTACTAGTTAAACCAGAACAGTTGATGCACATTGTAACAAACAGGGTGCTTGTAGGAAATAGTCCTTCAAACTTGCACCCTGGTTAAAAGAATCACATTGTGCCCTGGCCAAAACCTTTGTTTTTCAGTGAACTTCTTGCTTATAAATGTACCTTTAATATGCTGTGCATAGTTCCATTAATTGAAGTAGGTACCTAGATGATGCAGTAACTGATATTACAAATGTGTGAGAGAGAGATTGGATACAAAAGGTTCTTCCTTTAAAGCTTTGCTATTGAACGTACTTGGCCTCTGAGGGCCAGAAGTTGAAGGTTTTTGCCCATGAGGTGAAAAACAACATTTCAGCAGAAGTGTATTTCAGTGCCTCCAGCTCTACACTAGTGATTATTTGTAAAGAAGACATATTTTTCCCCTTTCAACCCTGACTTGTTCCCACCAGTATCTATAATTCATAAACCCTTGTCTATGACATCATAATCCTCTCTAACAGTAGTAGACTAGCTGTCATAAACAAAGGATAAAGATCATTTAGCCTAAAGAAACTGTGGTGAAAAGTTAAATTATGAGAAGTGGTTGTATGCATATACAAATATGTCCATTGACTTTTAGACAGGACAAAAAATCTTAGGGATCTTATATCTACCTCCTCCTGAGCACCTGCACCAGTACTGTACACATTTGGCAATCTAATAAAATCTCAGTCTTGCCATTCAAGGGTGGAAATTGAAGTGATAATATGTAGAAAATGTGGATTCTCAAAACTGCTGTCCAATACAGTGGCCATGAATGGTATCTTTAATAATCAATATTGAAAAGTATCTTACTTCCCTGCACATCATTTTCAATGACTGAATTTATTAAAAAGTTATTAAACACAATCCCCCAGAGCTAATGTTTATATTTCCTATTGCACTTTAATATCCTAATCCTTTTACTTGCTTATTTGGAGCCCAGCCCTGCTCCCATTGAAGCATATAGAAAATCCCCCACTGATTTAAACGGAGGCAAAATCAGCATTGTGCCAAAAAGCTAAGTGGCATGAATCAACATAGTGCTAGGGCTCTTTTGTCAAAGAAAGAGCCATTATTTCCATAAGAAGTAACAACCATACTGATATTTTGATAAGCCACATGTGTCAGTATGGATTTGTGGTTGATTTAAGTAAGTTACTTTATTGATTTATTTCTGAATTAAATGATCCTTCGTGATATTTTTGTTGGATTGTTTATTGTTTTATATTTGCCTGGTTCACTTCTACTTTTTAAAATATTCAGTGACCTTCTGATACAGTAGTTATCTTACATCAGTGTTCTTTTAACCTCTTTCTTGTGTTTTTTTACAAATGCTTAAAGCATGTAGACACTATCTAATTTTACAAAGTGCTCTATTTAATGATGTTTTTCAGATATCTGAGGACAGAATCTAGTCCTCAATTAGCATTTATGTAGCATGTAGCAATTAGGTAGTATTCCTTTCAATAACCTGTAGATATTCTAGAACCTTTGTTTTGGATTCTATATTTTAGATTTCAGAAATTACCAGAACCCTACAGAGCAGCCATGTATATAGGCATGTATTCTTCTGGTTCTGGATGCCGTTTTAATGACACTTTTCTATTAGCAAAAGGCCTCCTGTTGACAAAAAAGCGCCTTTGTAAGTATAGCCTATTTTGTTCAGGGAACTAGAATAACTCATGCAAGCAAAACCACTCCTTTTTGGTGGTATAAGATGCATCCCAGCCAGGAGGAACTCTGGCATAGCTATGTCAGTTTAATATTTTTGTAGTGAAGACCAAGATTTGTTCTGATGATTCCACAGAAGACACTCTGAACTTATAGATTTATTTTATATAAAATGTGTGTGTCTTTATGGAAAGTCCTAGAGAACTGAATAGAACTTGAAAACATTTCTTCTGGTTATTGAACTTCCTTCCAGTTGTAATAGATTATTAGATCCCTGCTACAGCCACAATACAGATGATTATTAAATTTGCAGTAGATTTTTAGTGAACCACCTGTAGAGGTTTAGCAAATGTCTACCAGACCCTCTTATTCTAATCTCTATTAAATTCTAAATTTGCACAGGACTTTTCTAGTAGGTGGGGAGAGAGTGGGGAGAGGGTGGCTTGACCTGCTGATGCAGAATGAAAGCCTGTTGCATTCAGATCTAAGAATCATTTCACGTAGGCTTATGACCATTTAAATATGCAAGGCTGTTTCTGCAAGGAAGAGGATTGGGAAATACTGAGAAAAATGGAGACTGGGATTCTTTTCTGTGGGCCTCAGAAGTTGTCTTAGTGAAAAAAGGGGGGTTACATGAGCCTCTGTCCTCCATACAGCTTGTTTGGAATAATACAGTATTATTCCAGATGAGCCTGCAATCCTTGCTCACACAGAGACACATCTTTCTGTACCAGCCTTAATGCAAAAGCACTGTGGATGACTAGGGTATGCGTGTAGGCTGGCTTCTTCTCTTGCATGCCTTTTCAGGGTCTGGTTTGAATCTCTTTGGAGCACATAGTTCATGCCCCCTCCTGGTGACCTCTTAGATATCAACCATCTGAAAGGAGGTGCATCAGGTGTACAGTGCACTGTGGAGCATCCTGCAATTTTCCCAGCAGTTTTACTTCAGCATATGGTTTCCTAGAAGAATCTAGGACACAGCCACCACTATTCCTCCAGGGGATCCAACTATAGTGAGGCCCATATGCATTCCTCCAGCACATCTAAGCATATCAAGAGCTGAATATACCTTATGAATAAAAAGTCCTAAATATTAGGGGTTCTAAAAATGCACTTTGTAAAGGTTACAAAATAAGTTTTAGGCAGAATGTGTCCCTCACCTGTGCAACAAAAGGTTTGAACATGGTATTGAAAACTCTGCTTTCCCTTATCCCATCTAACCTCCTTGTCTGCAAACCAGACAGACCCAAAATGTCTTGTTGACATCAGCAAAATTGTCCATGGGTAATTGTGAACAGATGGATGGATTGGGGCCCAGTAGCTGCAAGCAGAGGGGATCCTGTGCTGCAGGAGAAATTAATTGTACCATTTTTTTTGGTGAGCACTGTAGCTTTGGGAGCCATAAGTGGAGAGGTGAGTACGAAGGTAGAGCCATATGAGGGAAACTCATTAAGGGAACCTTCAAAAAGTTTGTAGCAGCTTCTATTCTACTGCATCCTTCCTTACCTAAAAACTCCAGGAAGGGCAGCATGCCCAGAGTCTTCAGGGAAGCTGTGAGTAGTGTCCATGAATTTGCTAGGGATCTGTGGGTTCCAAAAATGAAACTTCTGCTCAACTTCAGGCATAGGCTTTGACTTTTATTTTTGCCAGGGAGGCTAAAAAGGAGGGTCATGTGGAAAGTTTTATGCATTTCAGGTGGCATCCCTCTTCTCAAGGGGCAGGGGTGGGGGTCAGGGGCCTCAGGTCTCCATGTACTCAGCACCTCTGTTTTCAGGATGTGTGGACCCTTCATTCTCTGTCCTCTTGGCCACCCCATTCTCATGGGACTGTCTGGGGAAAACTCCACATGTGAAATCTCTGCATGGTTTTTCACTTTCTTGTATAGATGGAAGTCAGTCTAGCTTAGAATTTTACCCATGGTTTTCAGACCTGTGTTTGATCCCATGTAAATTGTTAGAGCTATTCTGGATAGCATTTGTTCCTTTAAGTTCTAGCATACCCATTTAAAAATCAAACTTAAAACCTGCCTGGATAAGAATACAGTTCTTTATCATCAGCAACAAAGCTTAAAACAGAAGCAGTCTTAAGATATCAACTGTGCTATGAATGATTGCTTATCTCTGTAGCAGAATAGTTAGGCACTGCCAAGCAGAATATTGAGCAGTGAATAATACGGTTAAATAGCTCAGTGAATCATTTCACTTTAACATGATATTATTAAAGTCTAATTATTTGCATATGGTAGACAAACCAGTGAATGATTAATTAAACCTCAGAGAAGAGTACTGTAAGAGAGACTGAGAAATCCAGCTTTGACAAAAGCTTTTGTCTCTAGTTTTATTTACTGCTTATTTCCACAATGTAAAGCATCTTTCTCTCCTGGAAGTCAATGGCAAATCTCTTATTGGCTGATTTAGGAGTAGAAGCAGGCCCTACTCTAGTTATTCTTTATTTTCCAATGACTTGTCTTAGCTTTTTCATAGTATGCTTTTTGTATGATTCCATCAGCAATGCAATACGAAATGCTGAAAGGCATTTTAAATAAGAATATCCAAGAAGTATACACTTAAAAAAAAAAAAGCTTAATTTACATTTAGAAATGAAAAATGTCCTTCCTCCTTTTTATGGTAACTCTGATTTTTTTAATTTTAATATGTAATATTCTTAATTTTTTTAAGCCAAAGCCAACTGAAACAGTCACAACTGATGAGTCTGGGGTAAGATTAGTAAACTGACCCCAGTGGTTTTATCTCTACTTGAGTTTATTCTTTTACCATGTCTATATCTTCCACTGATTTTTCTGTATTCTTCATAACTCTCCTACTTGAAAGGTGTATGCAGTGGTTTGCATTCATTATCAATGTACTATTGAACTCTGCTACAAACAAACCCAACATGATCCTATTAACAAACTGGAAAAACTTGGAAATGCATGTGATGTGTGAGGCATTTCTAAAGGTCCTGTGTTTTTAGCATGTAATTTTTCCTTTCATATCATGCTTATAAACATGAAAAGGCCCTACAGATACATTTTTCAAATCTTACCTCTCTTACCTTTGCATTTGATGTTGTTTCTGAAAGTGTTGCATTGCGTGCTCTGTATTTGATTTGACTTCTCCATGATACCCTTCAGAACTCTGAAGACAGCGCTAGAATCTCCATCACTTTTTTCCGTCTCTTCCGGGTGATGCGACTGGTGAAGCTTCTCAGCAGGGGTGAAGGAATCCGAACTTTATTGTGGACATTTATTAAGTCATTTCAGGTTAGTAAACTCACCTTAAATCTGTTTTTAATTGAAAGTAAAGATAGTTCTCATGCAATTTATTTACCTGCAATTACATGAAAATCAGAGGACTTAGGTGAAATCCTGTTCCCATTGAAATTGGTAGAAGTTTTATGACTGATGTTGAAGTCCAAGATTTCACACTTAGTCTTGCAATCTTGGCTGTTACGGTGACAGTTAGAAGCAGTCTAGTTTGTAAAAGTGGCTTTAGATATTTTTCTGTTCACTTGCACAGTAAACTGAACAGAATGATATATTTATGTAGATCGTATTTCTACAGTAAACATGGCAAACAGGCCAGATGATGGCATGTTAGAAAAAGAAATTCTTAGAAGACTTGTGAATCTTCAAATGTTACATTTATGTAAAAGAGATTTTAACCATATAAGGTGTGTCTAAACATGCATTTAGGTGCATTTTAAACACGTGCCTAAATGTAACACACATTAGCTTAATGTACTTTAAGGTGATTTATTCATGTCTACACATGCATGTGTTAAAGCATATTAATGCTGTGTGCACGGATTGACATGAGATTAAAGTTAGTCCCATGTCAGTCCATACACAGAGTTAATGCACCTTAATGCATCTACATGTGCATGAATGCATTTTAGCTATTTGCACTCTATTTGATACCTGCTTTTGCAGGTATCAAATTTAGGCACAAATAATCTAAAATTGACACTTTTAAGGTGCATTAAAGGCACACATGTGTAGAAGCACCCAGGCTAATGGTCAGTAGGGGAGGCACACCCAGGCCTAGGGTCAGTGAGGATCTAGTCAGGAAACTTCTGGAGGGACTGGACATATTTAAATCAGCTGGTCCTGACGACCTCCACCCCAGAGTGCTGAGGGAATTAGCAGAGGTCATTTTGGGACCCCGGCATGGCTTTATGAGCACTTGTGGTGCTCTGGTGTTTTGTCAGAGGACTGGAAAAAGGCCAATGTGGTTCCCATTTTCAAAAAAGGGAGGAAGGAGGACCCAGGAAACTATAGGCCAGTTAGTCTTACCTTGATCCCGGGTAAGCTTTTTGAGAGAATTATCCTGGCACATGTCCACGAGGGGCCAGCAGGGGAGGTTATGCTTAGGGGCAACCAACATAGGTTCATTAGAGGCAGGTCCTTTCAGACCAACCTGGTGGCCTTCTATGACCAGGTTACAAAATCCTTAGATGCAGGGGTAGCAGTGGACATAGTCTTTCTGGACTTCAAGAAGGCCTTTGACACTCTCTCTCACCCCATTCTCATTAAAAAACTAGGGGACTGTGGCATCGACACCTACACAGTCAAACGGGTCGCTAACTGGCTGGAGGGCCGCACCCAGAGAGGGGTGGTGGACGGGTCATTTTCAACCTGGAGGGATGTGGGCAGTGGGGTCCCCCAAGCTTGGTCCTCAGATCCGCACTGTTCAACATCTTCATCAGCAACTTGGACGAGGGGGTAAAAAGCACCTTGTTCAAATTCGCAGACAACACTAAGTTGTGGGGAGAAGTGGGCATGCTAGAAGGGAGGAATAGGCTGCAATCGGACCTAGACAGGTTACAGGGGTGGGCAAATGAGAACAGGATGGGTTTCAACACTGACAAGTGCAGGGTAATGCACCCGGGGAGGAAGAACCAGCAGCATACCTACAGGCCGGGGGACTCCCTTCTCATCAGTGCAGAGACAGAAAAGGATCTCGGAGTGCACTTCAGGAGGGATGTGGACAGCATTGAGAGGGTTCAGAGGAGGGCCACCCACATGATCAGGAGGCAGCAGGGTAGGCCCTACAAGGAGAGGCTAAGGGACCTGAACCTGTTCAGCCTCCACAAGAGAAGGCCAAGGGGGGGATCTAGTGGCCTGTTACAAACTAGTCAGAGGGGACCAGCAGGTATTGGGGGAGCCCCTGTTCCCCCGAGCATTACCAGGAGTGACTAGAAATAATGGTCACAAGCTGGCAGAGGGTAGATTCAGACTAGACATCAGGAGGCGCTGCTTCGCAGTCAGGGTGGCTAGGATCTGGAACCAACTTCCAAGTGAAGTGGTGCTGGCTCCTACCCTGGGGGTCTTTAAGAGGAGGTTAGATGAACACCTTGCTGAGGTCATTTGACCCCAGTACTTTTTCCTGCCATGGCAGGGGGTCGGACTTGATGATCTGCTCAGGTTGCTTCTGACCCTACCAACTATGAAACTATTAATGCACCTTAAATCAAGCTAAAGTGCCTTAAATCGGCATGTGTAGATGTGCCCTTATTGATCTTTAACATGCAAACCATAATGAATGTGAAGTCTGGGCATTTGTACACACGCATTCAATGCAGTGCTGGGCATTTTTAAAAGTTCCTGGCACTGTGTCCCATACATTTGTATAAATGGCAAAATGCACATCAGTGCTTACAAAATGGCCGTGGTGCACTTTTGAATTAAAACACATTGAATATGTTTTAGTTTCAAAGCACACCACCACTGTTTTCTTAGTGCTGATGCGCGTTTCGCCATTGATGCAAATGCATGTGATGCAGTGCCGGGTGCATCAGTTTGCATGCTCCACGGACTTCATTAATTGAGTCTGCTCCGATGTGCTGAATTTCTGGTGCGTCAGAGCAGACAAAGGTATGTCTGTAAATGCACAAGTAGAGAACTGGCAGGCAGTTTAAAATTTCTTTAGTGTAGGAAAGCTCTCATCTTGCATAAACTGCCTTTCTCTTCTGAGAGAGCAGAGAGGAAAGCTGTACCCTCAAGAGTAGGAGGGTATGAAGCCCAACTGCATTGTCCCAATTCACAACTGCCATATGATTGAATAAGAATGAATGTCTCACTGGCAGAAGTTACAGCAGCTTCCAAACTGCTCTAAACTACACTGGGATGAGGGCCTTAGCAGGTCTGCCTTTGCAATCAGTGCATGGTTACTGTTAACTCATTGCCTCTCGCCACTTGTTCTGTGCATAACAAATCTCTCACAGGAGAGATTTAGACCATAAGCTCAAATTGCATGCCCACTGTACATGATGAGTATTGAAAATGACAAGTGACTTGAAAACTTTTTTTCTGAAGTGAAATGTTAGATAAATCCATGTGATGCAGCTGAATTCAGGAAAAAATTCTCCATATCAAAATTATCAAAAAATAATAAAGGTCTTCTTTTCCATTTTTTTAGGCTCTGCCATATGTTGCTCTTCTGATAGCTATGCTGTTTTTCATCTATGCTGTAATCGGAATGCAGGTAATTCCAAGTGTCACACATTAAAATACAGCATGCAATGATCTTAGGTTGGAGTTTGGCAAATGGTGGGCTAAGTCTAGAAGGTGTATGAAAAAAGAGAAAGGGTAGTACAGGAGACCCTTGCCATTCGTGGGGGATACATTCTAGAGATCTCCATAAATGGTGAAATCCGCAAATACTGTACTGTGTTCATGAACGTCATCTGTGTTCATGAATGACGTGTGCCCCGGCAGCTGGGGGGGCATGGCTGTGCTGGTGGTGGCGGGAGCACAGCAGCGGTGGCAGGAGTGTGATGGCGACAAGCACAGAGCTCCTGTAGATGCCGCCGGTGCTGTAACAAAGTGTCATCATGCGGTGTGGGGAATATTTGGCGCACTGTGAATATTCGAAACTGTGAATACCAAATCCGCAAATAGCGAGGGTTTCCTATAGTAACTCATGATATAACTTGGTATAGAGCCACTAACTGCATAGGTCAGCCATAGCTCTGAGAAGGTGAAGTAGAGCTAACAGGTCAGACAGGAGGAGCTGGTCTCACCACCTCTGTAGAGCTGGCAGGAAACTCTGCCATAACTTCATGCTACCATCTCACTTCTTGTTGGAGAGTAGAGTTGGCATTTAGAAAGAGTCTGTACAGGCTTCAGAATGCAGCACGTGGAGACACTGAATTCCAGCTCGTTGGAGCAGACTCAATTTGAGTCTGCTGGAGTGTGGCCACTAGCACACTCCAGCAGCCTCCTGCATCTTGTGTATCAGTGTCCCCACACTTAAAAATGATGGTGGGGGTGCTTTATCTAAAGCTCATCAAACGAGCTTTTATTCAAGTCTAATTAAAACACCACCCCTGGAGCACGTGTAAAAGTGCCCTGATATAGGGTCTGGGGACAGGCTCAGGTTGCTGTCTGAGTGCATGTTCCTTATGAGCATGTGCCACATCCAAGAATCAGTCAGTGCTCAAAGGGAGGTGCCTTAATTCAAGAGGGTAGTGAGGCTGGAGGGCCATCAAGGCTGTAAGCATTAGAAGAAATGTTCCTTTCAGGTCTCTACTTTCTTCAAGGAAGTTATACCTTACTAGAGAATTGCCCATCAAGAATGACGGAGGCAGAGGGGGGACAGGAGGGGACAGAGCACCGCCACCCATCACCCTGTGCCACTGCTGCCTCCCAGGAGTTGGGGAGGGGGGAGGAAGCTTACATGCAGCCACCACTGCCGCCACTCAACGCTCTGCGCTTGCCCCCCCACAACCCTGCGCTGCTGCCACTCCACATCCGGCCATGTGCCACCCCGTGCCACCCCCAACCCCGTCTCCCCTCGCTCCACGTCCACCTGGCCCAGTCTGCTGGAGCCACACCCTGCCTGTCATTCTTGATGGCTATCAATGATGTAGCACTGGCTGGAGCCACACCCCACTGGGAGCCACACCCCCCAAGAGCATTAGGGACAGACACACAGATGGACACACCGACAGATGAACTAAGCCCTCTACATATATATAGATTCTGTAGTTATGCTGCACGCCCACTGCCTGCCTTTCTCTTCTTTCCAATCACATTGTGGATGTGTCCATACTAATAAAAGCATTGCCACCTGCAGAAGTTCTAAGGTGATTTCCTACATCCCCAAAGACATAAAAGTTTGGAACAACTTAGCACAGAGGAAAGCCTCAACCATGGTTTGAGGGGTGTGGTTGGGAACATGTTGCATAAAATGACTTTGCTTCCTGGTTCTCAAACATCCTCCATCCTTGGACAGAAGGGAGTATATGCAGGAAGTATAAAGAGGGAAGATCTTGTAGTTCAGGCATTGGACTATAGCTGAAGAGACCTGGATTTAGTTCTGCCATTGCCTATGTGACGGGGCAAGTCACTTGAAGTCCTTGTATCTCAGTACACAAGTCAAAAGCTCTCTTGTATATTTAGATTGTAAGTTCTCCAAGCCATGAATTATCTCTTACTGTAAATATATACAGCCATGTTGCATCTTATGCAGGAGTTAGGTTCATCAGCGCATAAGGCGAAAATCGCGTAGTCGTGACTGCCTCCGCCTCCAAAACATCCGGCCTCCACCGCGGAGCTGTGCTTGGAACTGTGCGGCCAGCGGCAGCGGTGCAGTGTGGGGTGGTGAGGGGGGATGGCTGCATGCTGCTGGGCCACCACCACCCTGCCAAAACCTCCTGCCACCGCCGCAAACTGAAGACCCGCCCCCTCCCACCCCGCATATAGTTGAATTTGCGCAATTTAAATGAGTGTATGATGTGACTGTACTGTACAAGAGCTAGCATGATGGGGACTTAACCTCAGCTGATGCCTCGAGACACTGGGTAATACAAATAATAGAGATAAATAATAAAATCTGAAGTAGAACATGGGAGGATGCATACCTGATTTAGAAAATGACACACTAAATGCTTAAATAACTATTCTGCAAATACACCATCCTTACTGCATCTTGTCAAATTTGCCTTCTGACTAGGGACAATCTGAAGCAATTGTTATTTATATGAAAGTGGACTTCTTTTAGGCATTGAGGGCAATTTGAACTGCAGGAATTATGCCTACTGTACATTTGGACAAAATGATATCAGGTAGAATCAGAAATATTCTTTGATACCCATTTCTGCCTGCAGGTTTTTGGGAAAGTTGCCATGAGAGACAATAATCAAATTAACAGGAATAACAATTTCCAGACTTTCCCCCAGGCAGTGTTGCTGCTGTTCAGGTAAGTGTATTGTAATGTTTTCCCTTGTTAATGCCCACTGATTCCAAAACTGACGTGTGGAAGATGCTTCCAGCTTGTGCGTGTAGATTTGCTTAACAGCTGTTTGAAAGGCTGAGGTTATTTAATATGACAAGTATGTAATCCTTTTTGAAATATGATTACAGTATACTGACACCGAATAGTCCTAGGAATGTGTGAGAGATGCAGAAGAATAATCTAAAATCCTCTTATCTGTTGTGGAAGTCACTGCAAAAAATATCCAACAGGAAGTATTATGTAGTCTTTTTTCATACTTTAAAGCAGGGGTGGGAAAATACAAACTATGAGCCGGATCCGGCCTGCCAACTGACTGGATCCAGCCTGTGGCTGCCCATGCAGTGCTCCACATGGGGCCAAGCCCTACCTGCTCCCACCAAGGCAGACCATGCTGTGCTCCCACCATCCTGGGCTCTGGTGAGTGTGCAGCTTCTAGTGGGGCTGTTCCCAGCGTGGCTGTAGCTGGCCAGATGTTGCTCTGTTCCTCTCACCTCCAGTGGGAGTCACCTGGCTGAAGCTTCCCTCCTGCCCACCTGGAGTGGCACAGCAGGGGCAGGGGCAGGAGCAGAAGGAGGAGCTGCTGCTAGAGGGGAGGAGAGTGAAGCAGCACCTGGCCAGGTGCAGGTGCACTTGGAACAGCCCCACCAAAAGCTGCATGTGCTGGCTGGAGTCCAAGTCGGTGGGACTGTTCTACTCCCCTTGCCTCCAGCTATGGCTGCTGCTGCTGCTGCTCTTGCCCCTGCTGCGTGTTTCTGGGCAGGCAGGAACTTCAGCTTGGCAGCTTCTGCCCAGTGTGTGGAGCTCTGGCTCCAGCTTCTGACTGCCTTTCACCCGCTTCACCTGGCCACAGTGGCTACTAATCAAGGAATGGTGCAGCAGGGGCAAGAGCAGCAGCCATAACTGGAGGTGAGGGGAGAAGAACAGCCCCACCAGGCTGGACCCAGGCCCAGGCACACGTAACTTCTGGTGGGGCTGTTCCTGGTGCGGCTTCAGCCACCTGGGTGCTGCTCTGCTCCCCTTGCCTTACAGTGACCATGAAAACCTGACTGGCTGCAGCTGCACTAGGAACAGCCCTGCTAGAAGCTGCACGCTGGCCACGGCCAGCAGGTGTGGGTGGGAGCATGGCACGGGCTGCCCTGCATGGGGCTCAGCCCCATGCTGAGTGTCGTGGGAGCAGCCTCCAACTGGGTGATCTCTGCTGAATGCCCCCCCTGCCTCTTCCTCCCCTCACCCCTAGCTAGCTCCCAGGTAGCACCCCCCTCCCCGCCACACATCCCCATATAGCCACCACCACTCCTCCTCCCCACAGGGCAGGATGTGCAGGGAACAGATCACGCCTGTCCCACTCCCTAACACTGCTCCCTGCCTATCCAGAGCCCCACAGGGAGTTTTGGTGAGTGGGGGGGTGGGGCAGGGAGGGGGATAAGGGGAGTGCAGACCTGGCCCACAACAGCTCATCAAAACTCCCTATATGGCCCTCGGGCCCAAATAATTGCCCACCCCTCCTTTAAAGGCTAGAGCTGCTGAGTGAACATACAAGGGATAGAAAGGAAATTATGTCCCCATCGTTCTCCTTGCACACAGATGTCAAGCAGAATGACAGCATAGTATATCCTCTTGGCTAGCACCATTGTTGGCAATGACCTCTGCGGAAAGGAAAGGGAACCCATACTCTATCCTCTTTCAGGGGTCACAACAGCTCTGTTTGACAGGATCACCAGGAGGCATTGGGAATCCCTGAAACAGAATGCCTCCTTTGGTGATACATTTCTGTCTTACTCCCAGTGTATGATAACAGCCCTGTACCATAGTTTAACCCGAGAGATTGTGATTGCCCCCTAAAAATTAGGAATAAGCAACAGCTTTTTCAGTGTTCCATGTGCTTATGTTTTGTGTTGTTTATGTGACACTTCATGCCACTGCCTTTGTGACTTTGAACAGTGAGGGAGCTTGTTATCCAGAAGAAAATCTGGGTCCATGTTATCAGATAAGAATGTTAGGAGCAGTCATTTAGATATGATAACAAGTGTGATGGTCCCTGATCAAACATTTAAAATACTCCAGACAATAAGTGTGCTCTGCTGTCAGTTTGAATTCAAATTAGTTGAAAGCATGAGCTACAAGTCCAGTTCCCATCTGGGGCTAGAGGCCCCAAGTGTACCAATGCTAATCTACAATCTGCCCTGGAAACCAACCCCACTTGTTTTAGTTAATTTAGGAAATAAAAACAAACAAACAAACAAAACCCATTTGCCAGATATACCCTAGGAAACCAGCCCAAAGGAGGGAAGCATGAAGCTACAAATAGTGCACGGAGGTCACCTTTGAAGTGTAACTTGGAGTGGGGTGACTGCTAGAATACCTGTGCAGCCCATGAAGCTACAATGGACAGAGAGGAAAAGACACAAAATTGCACCCTTTCATCAAGATGCCACTTCCCACCCCTACCAGTCAGCTCAGTCAACACCTGAAAATGTGGGGAAAACAAGAAGGGTGCTCCCCTGTCCTGAAGAGACTAACTTAGTTGCTGTCAGACCCCATCAAAGCCCTGGGCCAGAAACTTTGGGCAAAACATGAATACCAACATAAAATCATTTATGGTAGCAGACGTGCAGCAGATAAGGAGGAATGGCTTTTATCTCCTTCCACACTACTGAATGATAAACTTGCTCCATTGCTTTCTGCCAGGGATAGAATGCCTCAGCTAATCTAATGTACTTACCAAACTGTTCTCTTTCTAATCTTTCTGGGTGTGTTGTAATACTTGCCCTCTGTTCATTATTAACAAGCAGTCATCTCTATTCACACTTTTAAATGTTTCCTATATCTTTATTTGTCCTATGTACTTGTGAGATCATGAGTGTTCTAAAGACAGAAATAGAGTAGACAGTTTTAACTGCCCCATGCAACTGTATAAGATATCCATGCCTCCTGTTGGATTCTGCTGGTACAACTGAGTAGAGAAGCTGATTTATTAACACAAGACAAATGAATGGCCTATGTTAAAGGAAAATTTGAAAAAAGGAGGTTTTTTTTTCTACCTTTCATAAATATGCCACATTTTAACACACAGATGAAGGAGCTGCATTCCTTCATTTGGGCGCACAGTCTTGCTTAGCTATCAGCTATGAAAATAGGATATTATCAGTCTCTGTCTTAATCAGTATATTCAGGTTTCAGCTGATATGGGAGGGTCAGATCATTTCCATGTAGACACTAATGTCAAGACTGGAGTTCTGATATCTGTAACGTAGCCTGTCCTTATTGATGATTAGTAGGCCTTTGCAAAATTTCAACAGGTGTTTCATTTCAAACCTGTTTTGATGCATTTTGAGCTCAAAATAGCGAAATCGAAATGAAACAAAAGGCTTCAAAACATTTTGAATTTTGAAACAGCCTGGTGGTGGGAAGCAGGGAAGAGCCAGGGCTGCACTCCGAGCAGCTCCACCGAGCTCAGCCCAGCAGGAGGAGGCAGGAGAGAGCCACTGGCCAGGACTGCGGTCAGAGGCAGGGCTGTACTCTGAGTGGCTGTGCCACTGGCTCTCCGCCACCTGCCACCACCTCCCACTGCCAGACTCAGCTCCGTGGGGCTGCAGAGCTTCCCACTGCTGGGCTGTGCTTGCCAGAGCTGCACTCGAAGCATCTCTACCACTGGTTCTCCCACTGCCTCCTGCTGCCAGGCTGACTTCCATGGGGCTGGCGGAGCTGCTTGGAGCACAGCCCTGGTGAGCACAGCCCAGCAGCTGGAGGCTCCACAGCCCCATGGAGCTGAGCCTGGTGGCCAGTAGTGGAGCCACTCCAAGCGCAGCCCTGCCTCCAAGTGCAGCCCTGGCCAGTGGCTCTCCCCTGCCTCCCGCCACCTCCAGCTGCCAGACTCAGCTCCTTGGGGCTATGGAACCTGCAGCTCCATGTGACTGTGCTAGCTGCATGGAGCTCAGCTTGGTGGTGGAAGGCAGTGGGAGAACCAGTGGCAGAGCTGCTCCGAGTGCAGCCCTGGCCAATGGCTTTCTGCCACCTCCCTCTGCCAGGCTTAACTCTGTGGAGCTGTGGAGCCTCCAGCATCAGGCTGTGCTCACCAGGGCTGTGCTCCGAGTGGCTCCTCTGCTGTGCTTTCCATGGGGCTGGCAGAGCTGCTTGGAGCATAGCCCTGGCTCTGAGCACAGCCCTAGTGAGCACAGCCCAGCAGCTGGAGGCTCCACAGCCCCACAGAGCTGAGGCTGGTGGCGGGGGGCAGAGGAGAGCAACTGGCCAGGGCTCCACTTGGAGCCAGGGCTGTACACGGAGCAGCTCTGCCACTGGCTCTCCTGCTGCTTTCTGCCTCTGGGCTGAGCTCCATGGGGCTGGCAGAGCCACCCAGAGTGCAGCCCTGGCTCTCCCCTGCCTCCCACCACCAGGCTACACTCTCAGTGGCTTCACTAGCCCCATGGAGCTCAGCCCCACAGCCCTCCTGGGGGTGCAGGTCCCCAGATATGCACGCGGGATGACAGGAGGCTGCCGCTGCTGCCTGGGGTCAGCGACAGCAGCTGTCTTCACAGTGATGGGCGTGCCCCCAGGAGGAGTCCAGCACAGCCCTGCAGCCCTCCCAGGGGTGCGGGCCCCCAGATCTGTGCACGGGATGACAGGAGGTTGCCCCTGCTGCCTGGGGCCAGCACCAGCAATCTTCCTGGTGCTGAGCGTGGGCTGCGCCCAGTGCTGGTCCCAGGCAGCAGTGGCAGCCTGCTGTCATCCTGCATACAGATCCAGTTTCCCAGAAATCCCTATACCTATCTCCTTGAAGCTTGGCAGACTTCAGAAAGGGCTACCATCCCTGCAATTTTCATCCAAATGATTACCCATTGTAGTCTATGGGCAAAATGTCGAAATGCGTCGAAACAGCAAAACAGTTTCAACGAAATTAAATGGAACAGTACTTTGAAAAGAAACGAAATGACGAATTGAAACACTGTCCCTTTGAAACAGTGAAATGGAAGTCAAAATGAAATGGTGCTGTTTCGCACAGCCCTATAGATGTAATCAATTGTATAACCTTCACCAAATGTAGAGTTACAGTGAAACATTCCAATACAATTTCAGATTACATATTTTGTTACATTTCATACTTACACAACAGATTTAGGTGAAAATAATGTGGCTTTTCAGGATTAAACATAAAAGGTGCATATAGATGTGCTCATTCACATCACGTGTATTAAGCCCCTGCACATTTCAAAATGGCCATGGAGGCACTTTGTCTAAACCTTGTTGAATGAGCTTTAGATAGTGTCCTGCAGCCATTTTGAAACACATGGGGGCTTAATACACGTGATAGTGAGCTGTTTTCATTAGAGCGGCTGTCTGGGAACTGCTCTAATTAAAATGCTCCCCTACCCCTGAGCACACATATGTGCAGCCAGAAATTCCAACCCATGAAATATGTACGTTCATGATGCTTAAAAAAGCAAGGTTGTTTAATCTGAGGTTGTTATAGTACAGGCACCATTCTCACATAAATTCTGGTGGCACTGCATAGTCAGAAGCCAGCAATGGGTGGCCCCATCGGAAAACAGCTGGCATCATTGCAGGCAAACAAGTGTGCTAGAAGTATGGAAGTCAGTAGCAGTAGTGCTTTCCTTCTTATGTTAAATTTGTGAAGACAGTTGCCTGGTTGGTTTCTGTGCCTTGTAACTCTTCTCTGAAGCTTATAGATAAATCAGAACAGGAAAGTCGTCTTCTGTGGTTGCTAGCACACACAGTGTGGATTTGATTATACAAATAAATTACATCACATTCCTCATAACTTTGAGATGGATAAACTACAGGCAAAAATGTAAACAGTCAATCAGCATGTCTGTAGGTATCCTGAGATGTGATATCCAAGGTCAGCCCACAGACATTATCTCAAGCCACCTGGAGATATAACTAGCGAAAAATTGAAACAGATTCTTAGGAAGGCACCAGTCCTACTCCCATTTAGCCATGGCCAGAGAAAAGCTGTTCCTGCTTTATGAACTGAGCTTTTATATTTTGAACAGCCTTTGTTTTAGACAAAATCTGGGTAAAAGTTTGGCCTTTAACTCAGAACCAAAAGGCTTTCCTCTCAAAAACACAACATTGGGAGTTGGATTTTATATACACATCTGTTTGCCTCATAATTGTATCCAACAAGTATTTGCACAATCAGACTCTAAGTTTGTATCTGTGATTCCCCATACATCCTGCCTTCTCTGTGCTTTTCTTTTAGTTCAGGGGCGGGAAATTATTTCAGGTAGAGGGCCGCTTACTGAGTTTTGGCAAGCTGCCAAGGGCCACATGGGTAGCCCCACCCTTGACAGTTTCCCCCCCTTCCCCCCCCCGGTCGCCATCTTGGGCTGGAATTCCCTCCCTTAACCTCTGACCTTTGCCACTGGAAGTCCCTCCCTTTGCCCCTGAAAGTACTCCTTTGGGGAAGAGGGTTTGCCATCTTAGGGGAAAAAAAAACAAATTATATACTAAAAATCAAACTCCCATAATAATATATTTCAATTTAATTAAAAAATATATTTTTATCTGATTTGTGTGTGTTTGTGCTGTATATGTAGAAGTGATTGCATAATAGCTCAAAATGCAGTCTTACTCTTGTATAGTGTGTGGGGTGTGCAGGGGTGTGCAGGGGTATGGGTGGGTGGGTGTGGGGTTTGTAGGGAACTGTGGGGTATGGGGGTTTGTGGGGATCTGTGGAGGTTTGTGTGTGAATATGGTATTTGTGGGGTGTTTGATGGTGTGTGGGGGAGGGTGTGGCTGTAGAGTTTTCAGGAAGGGTTTGAGGGTATGTGGGGTGTGCATGGAAGCTCCCCCCCACATGCGCTCCTGATCTGGTCAGCACCCAGCCTCATGCAGTGATAGTGGTGGAGACCAGTGTGTGCAGCTGCGAAACTGTGTGCCCTGCGCCGGCTCCAGGCTTGCCCAATGGGGCTGAGCAGCAGCAGCAGCAGCTGGGCAGAAACTGCTGCTCAGCATGGAGGAAAAGTCCCCTTCCCCTCCTTTCCACTTCCAGGCAGTTTTTCCTGTGGCCAGCCAGAGCCTGTGCCACACTAGGCTGCGGTGTGGCTCCTATACTGCCACCTCTGGGCTTCCCAGCATGGCATCAGTGACCATGTGGAGCAGCGGCAGGGCAGCTTACAAGTCGTGGTGAAGGAGCCACATTGCAGCCTAGCGTGACGTGGACTCTGGGCGACTGCAGGAAAAACTGCCAAGTGGTGGCAAGGGGGTGGGGGGCCGCTTTCCTTCACACTGAAGAGCTGTTTCTACCAGGCTGCTGCTGCTGCTGCCACTGCGACTACGCCCTGACGGGTGAGCCCAGAGCTGGTGTGAGGTGCAGGCTGAGCAGCGGCGGCATGGAACAAACTGCTGCTCAGCACGGGGGAAAAGCGCCCCCCCCCTGCTGTGGCACTTCCTGGTGCAGGCACTCAGAGCCCACGCTGGGCTCCCTGTGTCTGCTCTCTGCTGCCACCACTACCCCGTGGGGAAGCCCAGAGGCGGTGGTGACGCGGCAGAGACACAGGCAGCCCAGCATGGGCTCTAGGAGGCTGCACCAGGAAGCGTTGGCCGTGGGAAGGGGTAGGGGCTGCTTCTTCCTGCACTGAGCAGCAGTTTGTTCCACACTGCCGCTCTTCAGCCTGGACAGGCAAGTGCGGTGCGCATGGGGTCAGGGCTGTGCGCACTAGTCCCCACCTGTACCGCAGGGCTGGGGCAAGGGGGAATGGGAGCAAGCAGGTGCACAGGAGTGCAAGGCCCACACTGGTGTCCCAGGTTGTGCACCAGAAGGGCCCAGAGTGGGGAGGCAGGAGTGCAGGGTCCCAACCAGCAGGGGCTCTATGGAGCTGGGCCAGCTCCCCACTCTTACTGCTGGTGCAGCCCAGCCCAGCTCCATAGACCCCTGCTAGCCTGTGCCCTGTGCTCCTGCCACCCCACTCTGGGCTCTGCTGGCACTGGCCCCAGGACACTGGTGCAGGCCCTGCACTCCTGCCCACCCACTCGCTTCAACTCCCCCCCACCCCCACCCCTGCCGCTGCTTTCCCCACTTTCCTGTCTGCCCACTGGCCACTCTGCACTAGGTGGTTCCTGGCTGCATGGCCAGACTGCTGGACTCAGCAAGACCTGGCCTGGCCCTGAGGACTGGGATGATTGCCCCCTACCTCCCCTCCCCTTACCCAAATTTCCTGCTTGGGTACAGGCAGGCAGGCAGGAACTGGGCCAGGTAGGCCTTGCTGTTGCAGGGTCTTGCCGTGGCTTCCTTTGGGTCCTACTGCCCCTGGCTCCTGTCATCTTTGGCAGGCAGCCAGAGGCAGATAAATGTTAATTTTCTAAATTTTTAGGGGACCCACGGGATAGATAAAATGGCCTAGTGGGCCAGATCCAGCCCGCGGGCCGTATTTTGCCTGCCCCTGTTTTCGTTCATGTTTTGAAGACTTTTCCGCATCCCTTCAACTGTTGTGGTTGTATAACTCCAAATATATTGTCTGTTCTTAAGTCTTAAGAACTCATTTTTGATAATAATGGATTTATCTTGTCTTATTTGTGCTCTAATGAAGGTGTGCAACTGGGGAAGCATGGCAGGAAATTATGCTGGCCTGTTTACCTGGAAAGCGCTGTGATCCAGAATCTGATTATAATCCAGGGGAAGAATACACATGTGGAAGCAATTTTGCCATTATTTATTTCATCAGTTTTTATATGCTCTGTGCATTTTTGGTGAGTTCAGTTTGTATTTACAAACAGAAATACGTTTTAGCATTTTGACTTGACAAGAAGGTAACAATAAACAATCAGATCAATGATCCATTTTCAAAGGCATATTTTTCATAAGTAGTCCTAGATCCTGTAGTTTGAACTAGAAACTAAATTCCACCAGGAGCTGCTCATGTGTATATAGTTACTCCAGCTTGGCGTACCCCTGATTTCAGTCTAATCATATGTACAATAATGATGTTTACAATTTTACAAAAGTAAACAGGCTTTTTGGTTTACTGCAGCCTTCCGTTACCATTACAGTGTAAGCTGATTGCATACTAACACTAAATATTAATGAATACTACAGCTAAGATCCAATTTGGCTCTATTTACACCTACTAACATTTTGGCAGTTGTCCAAATCTTCCATAGTGGTCTGAGTGATGTGTTCAAATTGTGAAGTGAAAATATAAACTGTAATCTTCTTCCATATGCCAGACTTGTTCTGAAATATTTGAAATATATTAGGCGCATCTACATGTACACCCAACTGCGCAGTTGTTATTGCACAGTCATTCAGTACTTGCTTTAGCAGTAATCGGCAGTACTGTGCAGTCTTGGCACCGCACGGGTTGTTTCTGACCCTACCGCACAGTAGCAATGGCATCACTGTTTGTGTCTACTGACACTACGTTGCCGCAGCAACAAGCTACATTGCTGTAGCTCATCAGTATGGCAACATAGCATCTTGTGTAGACATGCACACAAAGATCTTTGCTTTGTTGATCATTGAATTAAAATGATTTGTTTTATCCTCCGTTCCCTTGATCTTGGGGCTTAACAGCTCTATATACTGCAAACAGCATGGATTTCTAATAACATTTTCTGTTTTGTGTCAGTATTTATGTCAACAGAATATGTGCAATATTCTTAATTTCAATCATTTTGTTGCATTATCACGTTAATTGTTTGCTAAGATCTATGTTGTATATACGTATTCTATATTAAAATGTGCATTTGACTTATTAATGGCCTCTGCACAACTCTGTTCATTCAGTTGGGGAACAAACTAAAACTATGTGAGTGTGGTATTTGATAAAAACCCTGAATACCAAATGTCAGCATCACATCCTTGTGAATATTCCACAGACTACCAATTATTTAATTTTTATGGTCATCAAATATTTTTGTGTATGTTTAAATATGTGTGTGTGTGTGTGTGTGAATATATGCATGAAACAATCTATTTATCAAATCTAACATCCACTTACATTATTCTACCAGTTTGAATTCTAGCCTTGCTTGAAGTTAATTTCTTTCATATAGGTTTATATGTCAGCAGAGTGAAAGCAAACACGTTTTGAATTGCATTTTAGATTATCAACTTGTTTGTGGCAGTCATCATGGACAATTTTGATTATTTGACACGTGACTGGTCTATTCTGGGACCTCATCATTTGGATGAATTCAAAAGGATATGGTCTGAGTATGATCCTGAGGCAAAGTAAGTCCCACCATTTCCTTGTTAAATATGCCTAATAAATAATAGAAGTGAAACTTGACATTGTCTTCAGACTCACATACAGATATGACAAAAGAAATGTATTTATTCTAGGGGCAGAATAAAGCATCTTGATGTAGTTACATTGTTGCGTCGTATTCAGCCTCCACTTGGCTTTGGCAAGTTATGTCCCCATCGAGTGGCATGCAAGGTAGGTTTCACATTACTTCCCTTTGTAGTTTTTCTTCACTTTTGATGTGTTTCTGAAGACTTGCTCTCTATTACTTTAGTAGCTGTGTCCAATTCTGTTGCAAAGGGGAAAAGATCATGCTATATATGAGCTCTTCTTCAACTCTGAGTTACTCCAGTCTTATGTGAAGTCAATCATCCCATTGCAATCAGTTTTGCTTGTTTTGGTGAATTTATTTCCATCATGTTCCATGAATATAAAGCTCTTCATGGGGTTCACAGTTAAAGAAGCTGGTGTATAAATGTATTATTGCTGTTATTATTGTTGCCATATTTGATGTTGCCATATTTGAGGTGCATTTCCAAGAAGTTGGCTAAGACATAATTTTACTAAAGAACTGCATATCAATATGGGTTGTTTCAGTAAAGCTTAAGTTGTGTCATTTAGGATACCTAACCATATATTATACATACTTGATGGTGCCTCTTGAACTTTAATAGCTTTCTTAAAAGGACACTGGCCAAAATAATGAGAAAAATATTTAACCTACTTATAGTTTATTTTTTAACTCAGAGGTCGCAAGTAGCCTTATATTTATATTACAACCATCTCTTCCTGTAATGCCTCATATTCTGCCTGAACAAAGAAACAGAGACATCAGATTTACAAAAAACCTGTATTATTTTGGTAAATTTCAAGTTTCTGCACATGATAATAATGGCCTCACTCTTCAGAATACATCATAAGGAAACTTCTCAGATATCCTGCACTCAGTACTCTACTCAGATCTACATATAAAGGCAAAAACTGGTTTGTTGATTAAGGAATGGAAAATTGCCCTGGAGCCGGTTTTTCCTCTCTATATAGAATTCTTCTCAACCCACAGAGGTTCTTAAAATGTATTTGTTAATATTTGCATAGAAACAGTCATGGTGACCCAGGATGAAGTCTGAGGCTAGGTACAAGCAATCAAAAATTCCAAGACTGAATTGATTCAGTCTTCGCAGGTTGTAGATTGGACCAATAAGCAAGTGAACAGACATTCACTTTTGATTCTGGAAATGCAGTCACATGCCTGCAGTGACCCAGGCCAGAAGCTGGGGAGGGGGCGGGAGGGATGCTGGAACATGCCTCCCTTCTCAACTGGAGCAGTCAGCTTGGGCTAAGGCTATCCCACCCACTCTGCGATGGAGGGTTTGTGGGGGAAGTGCAAAGCATCCTGGGATGCTGGGGGACCGTGAGTTAACTTGAATCTGGAAGGAACCTGGGACAGAAGTTCAATAAAGCGATTGAACCTAAATCTGTTAATTCTGATACTTCATTCATTCAGGATTACTTTAAACTGTTTTGGGCCATTTTGAAAGTGGTTTATGTGCACTGAACTTCTGTTGTGTTACACATCTGAACTGAGTTCCAATCACTTATATCAGTTTATGTGCAACTTCTGTCCCTAGCCTAACTGACCATCAGAGTCGGGTTCTCTCATTTTAGAAACAGCTTGAAGCAAGGATTGGTTCATAAAATGCATCTGTCCAGCAACAGCACTGGGAGATGTGTTGTAATGACACACTTCGAGCTCCAGATCCTTCCCAGTTGCTCTTCATGCCCAGAGACAAGATATTTAGTTTATTGCATAAACATATTTTAATACAATATCTTTCAGATTCAAGTCACAGGGATGTTACAGCACATCTAGAGCATAGGAATGTGGCTAAATGTGAAATAATAATGGAAAGTATTGAATGCTGTACAGTATGGTACATAATAATAAACAATAAGGATAATGCATTCAAGGGAATTCAAAGAAAGGTGACAAAGATGATATGAGGCTTGGCTGAGATAATAGAATATAAGTATAGGCATTTTTTATATGGAGGATATGCCACCTGTGTACAAATGCACACAAAGTAACACAAAAGAGACAAGGAGAATTATGATAGTTTAATTTTATTTGTGGGTTTTGAAATGCTTATGTAACAGTGGTGGTAATGGTAGTCTGATGTCAGTAAGGATGTGATCAACTCCTTTAAGCAAATAAGCCTCACAGTATCCCTGAGGACTGTGTAATAGCCCACACCCATTCCACAGGTGGCTAAGCTGAAGTGCTCAAATAGAGTATCCAATGTCACATGGCAGGTCTGTGGTAGAACCCAGGGTAAAATGCTGTGCCCCCATTCAATCCACTTGCATTAGGTAATAAGATGTCACACTCTTGCAGCAGAATAGAGGAGACCTCATTCAGACATTAGGAAAAAGAATCCTGATAGATGAAATACCGTTATCAGGAGAGATTGCTAAGGAACTGCTCTGATTACATGTTAAAAAATTTAAATGATGATTACACTAAAGCAGAGCCAGGGACTAGTTGAATTAGGTGGCATTTACTGGATCAAAGTAGCAATAACTGCTACATTGTAGCCTAGTTAGGCTAATTTACTTAAATACCTGAATGTGCAATGCAGGAAAGCAAGGAAAGGTTGAGAGAGGTGGGTTGGGGAGCAGAGGCTGCAGGTGCAGACGTGGCCGGGGTGGGGACCCCCCCCCACTGCCCTTGTATGCGATTCTAAGATAAAGGGCATTTCCCTCCATGTTAAATGGGGAAAAAAACCCTCATATTAGAATTCAGTAAATACGGTAAACTTTGTAAAGAAATTATGAAAAGTACTGAACATTCTCAGCTTTCTGGAAGAATCTAGTTCCATCAGATACAAAATGTATCAGATACATATTGTTTGTAATTGAAATATATTGTTGATTTCAGATATACTTGCTCTCTTAAAGCCTTTGTGTAAGCTAACAGGTGTGATTTTTTTTCTGTGTCCTTTATCAGGTGTTGTTCCTTTATGCATGTCACCTTTTTTAGCTAAATGAACACACACTGCATATTTTCCACAAGAATGAATTAAAACCAATATATATGATTCTATTTTCCATTTACAGAGGCTAGTAGCCATGAACATGCCACTAAACAGTGATGGAACAGTCATGTTCAATGCTACATTATTTGCTTTGGTGAGGACAGCTCTGAAGATCAAAACAGAAGGTGAGATCATGTTGTGAAAATATTACCGCATGAATTAAGATGTGTAGTGAGAAGAAAGTTGCAGAGAGATAACATTTCACATAACTCCTTCTGCAAGTCACCAGCAACATGGATCCTGTTCTTAGCTTGCTTTTCCCTAAGCTGGGTGGCCCTCGTGTTCTGTTCTTATTTTGAGGATTTGAGACTGACTGGGAGATTGAAGGCAGATAAAGTTGAGGCAGAGGTTCATGAAACCTTGGAGATAATTTCAGATCCATAGTTGGTGAGAAAAAAAGTATTTGGTATATGCTGTGGAAGATGAGTCCAAATGTGCTTAGCAGGTTTTTACTAGCTGGCATTAGAAGAAGACATTAGTTTGAAGGTGTAGTGATTTTTATTTAACAACATTACTTCCTGTTCTTGAAGTTTCCTGGCTTCTTATTTCTTCTCATTTTTTCTATTTATTTTATTAATTTTTACTCCTTTCACTCTGGTGGTTCTTCCCTTTTCATAAGACTGAGTATTCTGTTGCCTAAAAGAAGATGCTGAGAGTAAGCCTCTACAGCAGTTCCTCAACCAGTTGCCTCCCGCCTTTGAGAATTGCTGAATATTAGCACTGTTCACAAGATGAACCGCAAGATTTCAAATAGGAATCCATAGTGTCAAAAACATTCTGATCTGTTGTGGTCTTTCTGAGATCTTTCTACTGTGCAGTAGAAGCAATTTGAATCCAACTGCTCTTCTCTGCTCTGCTGAATGTCTAGTTTGGTAACTGCCTCAGAAGCCAACTTCCATAAGTCAGTAAAAACTGACAACCCTTTAGCCTTTTCTCCCTTCTTTCATGATCCAGCGTGATGATCCTGCTCCCCCAGCCAGCCCATGCAGCTGTAATAAGTATTTATGCTAGCCAAGAAAAAATCCTTTTCCCTGTCCATTCTTTTCCAGCTTTTGCATAAATCAAAGTAAATAGCTACATCTCCTTGTTCTTCTGGATTCCAACTAGAGAATGTATACCTTTGAGTGCCTCTTTATTTTATTTTATTTTATTTCATTTTTAGTGAGCCATTTAATGTAAGACCTAAAAAATCATTCATTTCAATGTTAACTGAAATGTAATTGCCCATTCCTG